GAGGCACCCCGTAAAAAACGGGTCACAAGAGTGTGACAAACGTACAAAAGAAGTAGAGGAAAAATGACGATAGTAAGGATTAGGAAAGAAAAAGCAGTAGTTCCCTGTTGCATTTCAGGCACAGTTATGAGCATGACATAGATTAATCAGCCCATTTACAATTACAAACATGGTTAATGTCCCCCCTTTGGGAATGGCCTAAAGACACTTCAATCAGTAGCACCACCCCGTGGGGTGGCTTCAACTTTGCATGCCAGGGAACCTGTGCTGAGAGGGATACAACATTCTAGCAAAAAAAGACAGAGATACTCGATAAAAACTTTCATGACACCAGAATCGAACTTAGGTGATCTGCATGCTACTGTGAAACACCAAACACTACACCACAGATACCTCTGTTCTGCTTCTGACAGGTATCTACAACACTGAATTAATATGTTACAGATCACCGTATTTCTGAGTCTGTAGTTAATGGAAGTTTTAAATGTTTGCTTTGGAGATTACCCTTTCCTCAAAGATTCCACCTGTACATAGATAAGAGCTGATAGAAAGAGCAAGGAACAAAGAATAAACATTATAGAATGTAGTCATGTTGAATGTTGCCTGTAGGAATTTCAGGGAAATTGTTGACAGATTTAATTTCACCACTGGAGTCACATTGACTGAGCTTTAAGTTAAAAAAAAATTATCCTCTTTTGAAAACAAGAAAGGGAGAGACTATCTATGTATGAATAAAATGCTCACTGTTGCACTGACTTATTTCTTATTAAACGCTTACAATGACAAAACAATCACGCGTCAAGACGTTTAATGCTTGGCAAAGACAAATACAATGACAATCTTTATGCATCTCTCAGGGAGAAATTTGTCTAGGTCGTTTACAATGGCAGCGTGCACTCATGCATACATGCAAGAAAGGGACATAAATACACGTGTTATGTGCTGAAACAATTCTGCCCAGTACGTGTTCTATTTTTCTCTCTCTCACTACAAAGTATCCAGTTCAATTTCTTGCTCCCATACAAGTGGTCCAGAAACAAATTAGGCTTTTCCCCCCTAAAGAATTCCTTAGATTTGATCTCCAGGTAGATGGGATCAATTTGCTAGGATAAGCATCTTATGGGCATCCAAGAGGTGCCTTTTTGCTGACCACATAATAGAAGTAATACAGTCTCTGACCTCTTCTGAATACAGACTTGTCAATGGTATCAATGATGTTAAAAACCATACGGCAGAAATATTCTACCATACACAGACATCAATAATACAAGCATATATAAATGTTATCTCACTATAAATATGAGTGAGTGTACCAAGTGCAGAATAAATATTTTATGGCAACAAGAGAAAATATGTTACTTGATTTTTTTTGCATGCAAAATATACTTTTACTTAGTATTAAGCATTTTATAATGCAGCACAAAAAGCAAATGATTTCTTATGTTTTTCAGCATTCATATAATGCAAAACATCTAAGCAGAGGTGTCTTTGGTGTTATATTGCACAAAAACAAGGAACTCGTTGACACCGTCATACACACAGCTTAATGTGACTATTGGGTATACTCAGTGAACAAGCAACATTGCTGATGAAATGTTCCAAGCAAAATACATACAAAACATAAGTGGTAATCACAAGAAAAAGTGTTAGGTAATATTTGGACTACCCAACATCATATCCACGTGATCAAAGAACATGGGAGACTAAACAGTTACATGCAAAATTAGAGATTCATATATTACACAACACAAAATATGGCAATAACAGTAATCACAGACATGTAATCTGGCAACCTGTGATCATTTCTTTCTCTTTAGGTTCATTCTTAACAACTCCCAAGAATGTAAAGTATCTAATTCCAGCAATTGGTTTGACATAGTCCTGTTACTGAAAATATTGGCACTTCCTGTCTGAATATGATTGTAAATGCTTTCCATCGACATCAAAACAACCTGGATCATTTTAAAAATGATCTTCTTCTTTGACTCTGCATGCTCAGGGACAATTCTGTGCACAATCATCATATATCATAACCTAAGCAAAATAAAAATACTTAATACATTGCAAAACCCCATTTAATAAAGATGCTGTTCAGCAGCAAACAGGAACAATTATAGAGATGATAAAAAAGATGTATATTCTGAACATAAGACAATGAAAAAAAAAAGGAGAGAACGATTCACAGCACAATTTATGACAATAGTCCTAAATCATAAACAAGAGTCCAAGACTTTCAATAGCGATGACAAGAGGAGTAAATGTTTCGCTATTGCAGTCTTGAAACATTCACCATAGTACTGGCGTAAGCTGACAATAGTGACAAAACGCCTTCTTCATTTTGGCACCTAAAATTAATTATTTGCTAAATCGAACTGATCAGTTACCGTACTTGTGTGAAAAAATCCAAGTGAAACTGTGACTAGTTTTTTAATAAATTAGAATTCAAATTTCGGAATCACTCTATTTTTAAATGGTTACGCTGACTAAAAAAGCCCACTCTTTTTTCTCGAAACTGCTGCGAATTGTCAGCTTACGGCAGAGTATAGAATGGGTGATTGTAGAAGAGCCTCATACACATTGAACTGAACTCTATGTGTTATTCGGGGACAGCTAGCTTTGTAGAAACAATTGTACTGCAGTTCTACTTCTCCTTGTATTGCAAACTCACTTTTCTGATGGACAATAATGTTCCGTTGTAAACCCTGTAAAATCTGTAAGACCAGTACTTTAAATCATAAAAAGTATAAAAGAAAACTTTTTCATTAGAGCAACTTCCACAGAAATTGAAACATCCTTACTATGTACCAAAAAGTATATCACAAAACCAAAGTGAAAATAAAGGGTTAAGTACATCATGTACAGACATTGATACAACCAGAAATAAATTTTAATAGATTTTAACATAAATTTGACTTCAATATTCGGGGATAATTTTCAAACAATAATGTACTGCAGTTCCAAAAATTGACTTTTTCGCTGCTCAAGCAACATAACACTAATAACTGTACTACTTTTTAAAATTTTGACTGGCTTCTAAATAAATGCATTTCGAAATCTGCACTCCTTCCAAGACGGACAACAAATTTATTAAAAGTAAGGCTCACAAGTTTGTTGAAGCTCAGTTCCAAAAGAATACGGAAGAGGTAGCTATGTGTGTTTTAAGTGCCAAAGCAACACAAAGATGGAATGAGCAATGAGATCAGATAATGTGCATCAGTGACATGTAGGAATATCATGTCACTTAATGAGAGGTAGCTATGCTCAGAGCCAGTTTTCAGTTTCAGTGGTTTTTATGCATTGTTTTTTTTAATGGTAAAAGCAAAACATTTTATCCGCTGTATATTTTTTCCCCTAAATTATTTATAATTTTTCAAGCCAAATGCCTTTGTCAGTACCGGGATATTTATGGAAACATTATGCAGTAAAAATTTCATAGGTGTAGGGTTAAAACTTTTCATGACAGTGTTCTTCATAAATTTTATCACCAGATCAGTGATTTTTCAGGTGTCTTCCCCATGGATTGCCCTTTAAAAAAAAAGCAACATTTGCAGGAATAAATCCTGCAACTGGAAGAATTTTTTACTAAAAATTTTTCAGTGTTTCAGTTTAGCATCATCGTTTATGTGTTGTGGAGAGAGAAAAACATCAATTCTAAGTAAAAAAGTGTTAAGATCAAGGATCCAGCTCCAGGTTACCCATTTGAAGGTCTGTGGAGAAAGACAGAGGGGAAAAAACCCACAAAGGCATGTAGTACCAAGAATACAGATTGACTGCAAGCTGGAAAATCTTTTTTTTTAACAGGGGAGAGGAAAAAAGAATATCACTTTTGTGCCTTCGTCTAAAGGTAAAAGAAAAAAATCAGTACAACTTGTGTTATAAACAATTGTAGGATGTAGATGTTAAAAAAAATGTTAGACATTGAGATGATTATTCTGTGCATCATGTAATTGGAAAAGTTGATTCTAACAAAACTGTTAGTTAAGTTTTAGTAAGAGGTTCATGGCACCTGCAACATAAATAGGTCATATAAACATAAGCGCTGACAATTACGAGTTGTTACTAGAGAGTAACATACAAAGAAAAGTAGAAGGAGAGATAAAGACGATAGATGTTTGATAGGAAAGAAGTAACAAACCACACCATAGCACCTGCCACCCACCCACATTAAAATTGTTGAATACGAGTCCTTTGAACAAAACCATTGACGAGTGACAAAGAAACTCTTGAATCAAGTAAGCAGAGAGATCTGCCTTTGTGTGAAACATTATATAATATAGACCGGACTAGTGATCACAGGTTCAAGACATTGGCAAGAGACAACAGATTAACAAAACTCTTTGAAGTCTTACTTCCAGGAGACCCAAAGACAACATCGCGATTTCTTCTGCACATCGCAGAGAGAAAACAAAAGTGAAAAGCTTTTCAACTCCTTCGTCGTGTTGACTGAGGCTGGCTCAGGCCTGATTTTTTACCCCTGGACTGTCGTCTAAATGTGACAATCTCTGGCCCTAACTCTTTGGTCCCCTGAGCCTACAAAACCTTTGGGTCAACTGCTACATTTATATTCCTGCATGCTCAGGCATAGGTTCGGTTCCCAGAAGGGTAAAATTGTACTTGGATCCACCCACTCAAATGTCAGCAGTATTGGTACTGTTGAATAACACCTTGAGAAGATCCATGACTTTATTATCATAGATGAGAAATTAACACTTTAGTGGTCACAGTACCAAGTGTCATATCCTCTACCCAGTAGTCCGAATCAAATTATGCAACAATGAAGGAAATGAAAGTAAAAGAATAAGAATTTACTGTTATTAAACATAGCCCTAGAGAGAAGACACATTCCTGCCATTTACAAAAAAAAAACTCCACTAGTTATGTCCTTTCTAGTTTAGTTTAAAAAGAGTTTTATGGCACTTGCAACACAATAAAGTCCTGCAAATGCCAAAGATTAGAGGTGTTACACGAGAGCAACAAACACAAAAAAGGAGGAAGAGAGGTAAAGACAACAGATGTTTGACAGGAAAAAAAGGCGCAAACCACACCAGAGCACCCGCCAACAACCCACCTAAAGAGTTCATAAGGTCGTAAAAATTCATCCCATGGAGCAAATAAAAATGTTGTCATTTTGTCCATTGATTACGAACAAAACGTCTGAACACATTAAGAACCACCATAGACAAACTGATAGAAGAGAGAGCTCGAGTCTTTGAGCAAGTCGTCAGGGGGAGCAAACTCGGCCACTTGACCGTCTTTCATAACAAGCACGCGCTGACTATCCAGCACGGTGTTGACACGGTGTGCGATGGTGAGCACCGTGCTGTTGCGGAACTCGTGCCTGATTGTTGACTGGATGAGAGAATCCGTCTCCTGGTCAACGCTCGCTGTTGCTTCATCAATACACAGAACCTGAAAGAGAAGAAATTGAAGTGTTAACACAACATTTACACACTATTTTTATTCAAACACCGGTTGGACAAACATCTTTGGCTCCAACTCAATATTTCTTTTCTTCACAGAAAAACGATATTTCTTTTTTGGGTGACTCACTTTCAAAATATGTCCAAACCATCAGCAAAGTACCAGTCACATAAAGTTACGTAAAACGATGGTGTCAAACACAAATGGGCCAACTCCAAAATGTTCTCAAACCTGATGTTTCACTATGCTGTAAAGCAGGGTCAAATACAACATCAAAATAAATTTTGAACCCCCCCCCGAAAAAATGCATTAAAGCATCTCCTTGAAATTTGAGTTAGAGTGGTCTTTGATAGTTTAATTAAAACACTTTCAACCTCTTCTGTAAAACTGGCTTTCAGGGAGATTGCCCATCTGCCCCAGACACAATGTGTGTGTATGTGTGTGTGTGTGTGTGTGTGTGTGTGTGTGTGTGTGTGTGTGTGTGTGTGTGCGCCCGCGCATGTGATATCTAAATCATCATCCAATAATTCGGTGGTGCCACTGACTTTCAGATTTTTGCTTGAAATTATAGCATTCAAAGTAGTCAGCAAAAAGGAAACAAGAAAACAACAACAGTATTGCATAAATTTAATTCCTTCTTCTTACTTGCAATAATTTTTTGTACATTTATTGCTTTTCCCTAATGATTGGGTGACAGCCTAGTATCCATTCTGAGTTTAAATAAAGAATGGGACCCCTCTTATCTATCATGGTTACCTCTCTTTTTTCTTTTTTGTGTCTGTAACTCTCTTGTAATACCTCTAATCTTCGGCACTTAGATGATCTAATTGTGTTGCAAGTGTCGTAAAACTCTTTCTAATACAAACCTCTCTTTCTTTCTCTTTCCCTCGTATCTCTTCCTCGCCCTGCCCGCTTTCTCTTCCCCTCCTCCTCCTGACTTTCCCCATCTCTTTCTCCCCCCCCCCCCCCCACAACTTATAAAAGCCCTGACCTTAGCCCGAGAGAGCAGAGCACGAGCTAGGCACAGCAGTTGCCTCTGGCCCACAGAAAACTCTCGGCCGCGCTGAGTAAGCTTTGCCTCCAGGCCACCCATCCTGTCTACGCAGCTGCTCAGATGGCAGCGGTCAAGGACTGCCCACAGATCGGAATCGCTGTGGACGCTGGTAGGGTCAAGGTTGAGCCGGATGGTGCCACTGAACAGGAACGGGTCTTGCGGGATTATGGCAAACTTGGACCTGAGAGTAGAAACGTCACCTATGAGTCTACAATAACATGCTAAACACTATCCACGTTCAACATAACTGTCCATCTATTACATAATATATCAATGTCTGTCAGAAAATGCAATGATTAGGCTCTTCAACATCATTGTACGCATAGATTCGAATTTGACCACCAAGTGCGGAAGTACTTTATCAAGTATCTCAACTCTATCTTTTTTGCTGGCATGCTGTATTTCATTCAGCCCCGGTTGGCCCTGACAGTCAAGAGTCCACGCCTCCCGTCTTTGTAATGGTCCTGAATTCTCTACATTGTGGCAATGGGGACATAAAACACTTACAACCACTGTTCTTCCCCTACATTTTATATTATGCAACTGTCCTTCCAATACATCTAAATGGGCTAAAGCCACTGTTCCTCTACTACACATGAATAATGTGCATTGGCAATTTCACTATAAGTATGAACTCACAAATCAAGATCTAAGCTCTTTCTCCCTGCAACTTTCTCAAGTTTCAGCTGAAAAGACACTGGAAATGATACCCTTGACCCTTGAGTAAACAAATTAAAGTTTCCCAGTCCTCTTTTTATCCTTATCAAAATTAAAACAAGGTGCTCATATTAAAGTTATGCCCCTGAAAAAATTCAAAATGTGTTAAAAAGGGTGAAAAACTGAAACTAAAATTCATGCACATTTAAATTTAATCAATAATTCACAGAATCCACATACCTTATATCATTCAAATCCAGCATGCTGATGACTATATCATCAACGATGATGCGACCTTGACTCAGCTCTGCCAGACGGAAGAGCGACAGGAAGAGGCTTGACTTTCCGGCACCCGTACGCCCAACAATACCAACCTTTTCTCCTGGCTCTGTCTTAAAGGAAACGCCGTTGAGAACCCTGGCCTGTGAGTTGTTGTAGCGGAGACAGACATCCTCAAACTCCACCACACCCTCTGAGGGCCAGACGGATGGGGGCTACAGGTGGGAGATAAAGGGGGGAAAACCGCCCACCAAATTACGATTTGTGTGCAGGAAAAGAGAAAAGTAAAAAACACAAGGATATCTAACCAAAATATTTTATTTACAGTCCATTAAAAATTCATTTTCTTTTTGTGCTTATGATCATTAACTATAATTACAGATTTTAATATTACTAGGTACACCACACAGAGAGAGAGAAAGAGAGAGAGAAAGAGAGAGAGAGAGAGAGAGAGAGACAGAGAGAGAGAGAGAGAACAAGAGGGAGATAGAGAGAGGGAGAGGGAGGGAGGGAGAGGGAAAGAGAAAGTGAGAGAGAGAGAGAGAGAGAGAGAGAGAGAGAGAGAGAGAGAGAGAGAGAGAGAAGGAGATAGAGAGAGGGAGAGGGAGGGAGGAAGAGGGAGAGGGAAAGAGAAAGTGAGTTGTTGTTGTTGTTATCAATCCAGCAACAGCTGGGCTCTCTCCCTTCTGTCCAATGCCATGTAGTGATAAGTGCAGGTCTGCTGCAGTTGCTGTAATGTTCCATAGAGTGTGTTGTCAATGTTAGGTCTCGGTGGGAGAAGGGTAGCTCTGATGTCATTTAGGGCTGTACAGTGGAACAGGTGATGATCCACAGTCTCATATGCATAGTCACACAAGGGACACATTGGGGGAAGTTCCGGGTTTATTCTGTTCAAGTGGAAGTTGAGCTGTATATGTTCTGTTCGTAGGCGGAAGATCGTGGTCTGTTTCTTTCTCTGAAGGCGGTTGATATTGTCATTCCTTTTTGTTGTGGTCATATGTTTGAAAACTGCTCTGCCTGTCTTTCCCAGGGCCCATCTGTTCATCCAATCTTGTTTGTTGTTGCTTTTGATGATTTGTTTTGCAGTGTTGTATGAAGTTGGAATGTTGGGTTGTTCCTGTCTAGATCCCCGTTTGGCGAGTGTGTCTGCTCTGTCATTTCCAGGTATGTCTGAGTGTCCGGGGACCTACTGCATTACTAGGTTGATGCCACAGAATGTTATCAGATGATGGGATCCAAACAGTATATGGGTCAAATCTTGGTTTACGTGATGGTCATTTTCTATGGCTTGTAATACTGATAGTGAGTCAGAGAAAATCACAATACTCTGTGCTTTTCCAGGATGAGTGTTAAAAACTGTGCGGAGATGGTACAGTGCTGTTTCAATTGCCATCATTTCTGCATCGTAGTTGCTGCATTTCTCTCCACAGGCTGCAGAGATCTCATAGGAACTTCCATCTGGGTACTGTATTAGTATTCCATATCCGGCTTTGGTTGTGCCTTTGAATGCTGAGCCGTCCGTATAGACGTGTATCCAGTCATCTGAATAGCTGTCGATTGTTTGATGTGATGCAAGCATCAGCGTCACTGGGTCTGAAGATTTTGTGCTCTTGTCTTTGAGAGATGTTGTAATGATTGGCTTTTTTAAAGAAAGGTGGGGAGGGATGTTTTTGTTGACTCTTTTGGTTTCTTTTCTATTTTGTGGTAGATGGTGACTCTCCATTTGTTCTGTGATGTGATGCATGATTGACTTTTGTTGAATTCGTTTCTTTGGTTTCCATGTTTCTACTAATTTCCTGTTTGGGTGGATGGGGCACTTTCTTTTAGTTCTTTCATGTAGCTCCAAAACTGCTTTATCTCTGCGGATTCCCAGGGGTTCAACATTTGCAAGGATTTCGCACGCGGCGGTAGGTGTGGATCTCATGCCGCCATTTATAAAAAGAAGGGCATTGTTTTGGACCTTGTCAAGGGTGTTGCAAGTAGTTGTACTGCACATAGTGAGTAGGCTATTGCTGTATTCCAGGGAAGATCGGACATAACCCAGGTATAGAGCTCTCAAAGTTTGTTTGTCTGACCCCCATGAACTGCTTGCGAGTTTCTTTAAAAGTTGGAGTCTTTTTTTTGCCTTGTTCCTTATGTTCTCCACTTGGCTTTTCATGGTTAGCTTATGGTCAAGTTTGACTCCTAGGTAAGTTGGATGTTCTTCTTTGTGGAGACTTTCATTTCCTATCTTTAGTTTGAGATTTTCTTTGGCTGCTTTATGGTTCTTCGTGAAGATGGTGTATACTGTTTTCGTGCAGTTTATTTTAAGTTTCCATTTCTGACAGTAATTATGGAGCCTCTTGAGGTCTTCATTTAATTTCCCTGCTCCTACTATCGTGCTGTGATGTGTCTGCCAGAGAGCAAGATCATCGGCATAAAGAGTCTTTTCTGATTTCAGCACGTTCGTTACATCATTAAAGAAGATCAGGAACAAAGTGCAACCCAGACAGGAACCCTGAGGTAGGCCTTCCTCGAGTACTTCTCTAGACGAGTGGGCATTGTTTACCTTGGTTTCAATGTTTCGATCCGACAAGAAGAACTTGATCCATTTGTAAAGTTTGCCATGTATCCCGAGGTCCATCAATTTCATGAGTAGGCCTTTTCTCCACACTCTGTCGTACGCCTGTTAGAGATCTACAAAGATGGCGACAGTGTGTTTACTCTCTTGAAATCCATCCTGGATGTTTTGACTCAGTTTAAAAAGTTGATCTTCTGTGTTGCTGCCTTTTCTGAAGCCTGCTTGGTGTGGGTTTAAGCTGTTAGTATTTTCCAGGTACCAGTAGAGGCGGTTGTTTATCATTCTTTCCGCAAGCTTACCGATACATGATGTTAATGAGATGGGTCGGTAGCTTTTCGCTTCTCCAGGTGGTTTCCCATTTTTCAGGAGTGGTGTAATCTGGGCGATCCTCCATGCCTTTGGTATTCCACTCGTTCTCCACGTGGTGTTTATCAGGGAAAGAAGAACTTCTTTTCCTTTAGCACCAAGGTGGCACAGCATTTCGTTGTGTATTTTATCTAGAGAAAGTGAGAGAGAGAGATAGAGAGAGAGATAGAGAGAGAGAGAGAGAGAGAGAGAGAGAGAGAGAGAGAGAGAGAGAGAGAAACTGGTGAAAGCACATAGTTAATCTTATTCTATCTAATTGCATTAAGACAGGAGAGTGCTCACATAGAAGTATATTATAGTAGATGTTCAGACATGATGTTTCACCATTAGAAGTGTTGCATCTCCTGTCCCTAAATATTCATCTACCCTAAACCCATTGATTTTTATCTTAAAAGATCACATGTGGCGTCGGTGGCCTAGCGGTTAGGCTACCGGACTCGTAATCATGAGGTAGCGGGTTCGGGGGGATCGAGCTGGGGGCCCAAGTTGTGTCCTTGGGTTAGGCACTTTACACAAATTTTCCTAAGCAAAAGATCTTGTCAGTATGTTAGTGTTATAGCACCAATAAATGGCTGCTTGCACTGTGTGCTTTCCAGGAAGTTGAGGTTGCTTCAGAATCCTCTCAGGTCTGCTGGGGTAATAGTATAGAATGCGAAGCGCATAGAGCTTGCTGTTGAGCAGGATTTGCGCTATACAAATGCTTTTTATCTATTATTTTATTATTATTTACGTCAAAACAAAAAGGTCCCTGTCTCTGGTGTTGTGGTGCACTGCTTATCTGCCATGGTCTTATAACCTGATTTGATTGTGCCTGTCATGGCTGACCTGGGCTGCCAGGGATACGACATCATTGCATACTGATGGAGATACTCGCTAAAAAAAGAAAACCAACAAAAAAACCCCTCCACACTAGATAATTGAACTCATATCTTCTCTGGGGGTTTTTTATGTAGAGGTTTTACGGCGCTCGCAACTGCATAAGGGCATATGAGCGCCAGAAGATTAAAGGTGTTACAAGAGAGTAACAAACATAAAAAAGAAGAAAGGGGAGATAAAGACGATAGATGTTTGATAGAAAAGAAGAAGCAAACCACACCAAAGCACCTGCCAACCACCCACTATCTTCTCTGTGAAAAGGCAAAGAGCTTAACCGCTACACTTCAGATGTCAGTTGGTTTTTTAAAACTATTCAACAAAACATACACACTCACAAACAAGGTTCCATTCCACTTCTCCACTGGAGTCTCTACGATGTACTGCTGACACCTCTCCACACTGACAAATTCTTTCTCCGTCTCCGTGAAGAACATGACAACGCCCCCCAACAAGTTCGTCACTGCCAGCGCATACGAAATGGCCAGTCCAACAAGACCTGGGGAATAATCAAATAAAAGGCAAGAATGAGAAACAAAAAATTGTCCCAAAATACCCAGAAAAATAAATGAAGATCCTTTTTTGCAAATGTTTCACTGCTTCATCAATACAACTTAGGTCATTAAGGAAGCAGACTGCTTCGCAATTGCCTGTCATAGTCAATGGAATGATACTTATCAGTGGAAAGGCACTGAAAATATCTTAACTGATTCCATCCATTCAGCCGCTGACAGCGACTCTGAGGTTTTCCATAGTAGAGCTGGGTCGCGAGTGCGAGAATGGAACTGAAACGCCGCTCTTCCCTGCGGCACTTGATTTGCGATTCACTTCAGCGGAACACGGAACAGTATCGCCGTCCGATTCACTCCCCTGTAGATGTCACCACCTTGCTTGCAGCTTGTTTGTAACCTACAGCTGAGTTGAGTCCCGAGTGCAAGAACGGAACAGAACACTTAGTATGGCTCCCCTTATATAACAAAAGATGGAATAGTCCAACCCCCCTATTAAAACAAAATGAACAAGTTCCAAATAATCCACAGAAGGAATTTTAGGGAGCCATTGTTTTAGCGAATCATAGGGTGGGGCGGGTGAATTTATGGAGTTGCTAACTGAGGTCAGTAGATAGAGCAGCAAAACGAAGGGTGGGGGGGGGGGGGCGGTGGGACAACAAGAGTGGGACTCGCGCTCGCCAAGTGGCGTTGATATGACACTGTTCTGTTTCAGTCAGTGTTCCACCGCAGTTCCGCGAGCGCTCGCGATTCTTTGAAGCCGACTGAATCGCGAATCGCCACTTTTAGATTTGGTGAGCAGGATCCAGCTCTATTCCGCAGCCTCCATTCGACTGCTGTGAGCGGCTCAACGAAATGCGAGCGAAATCCAAAACAAATGTGCACTTTTAAACATAGTTCCTACTTTTAAAGTTGTCGAAAGGAAGCAGAACTTGTAAACAAGCCTGACCTCAATCTCTGAGTGCCAATATCGATTGAAACTCCGTGAAATTCTTGCAAAAATCGTTCGTTTTGTTGTCGCTAAGTAGGCTAGATCTAAGGGAGCCTGGTATAATAAAAAGGCCCTTCAAAAAAAGATAGTCAACTAAATTTGTGAAATTCTTGCATAAATGTGTCCTGGGGTGAAATCGCTACAATTTTATGTTGATTCCTATGGATTATAAGGACTTGTAGAGCTGAGAAAATGTGGTAAGTTGAAATTTTCGAAGAGGTATTGCGCAATTTTCTTTCCCCATTCGTTTTTGTCTGAGGGAAAATACAATACAAACAGATTATAGGTTATTGTTATTGATATAAACAGATTCCTCTATTGATTCCCATCAGTTTTGGTATATGACAATACATATTAAAGTAACTTAGAGCTTCAAAGTAATGCATTAAATTGATGCACCCCAGGTCCAAAACTGAACAGGGAAAAATAATTCTGTCCAGAGCCTGAAAAAATCATGGAAGGAATGTCAGGATTGAATTCACTTCATTTTCAAGCAAGGTAAAGCACTTAACCAATATATTAGAAATGCCAGTAAAATATAATATTATTATCCCCTCACAATATATATCAAAATCGTTACCCTAAACAAAGGCTCAGATCTCATTTTTTGCCTGTCGTTTTTACTATCTTAAGATAAATAAACCTTGCCTAAGATAACAGCAATAGTCTGAACCCTACGAGCCGACTCATGTTGCAATAAACAGTATTTTAAATAGGCCTTTTGTTCAACATAAATTTCAGTTAATAAAAGTATCTATCATTATGTCAAACCATAGTGGCTACTTTGACTTCTAAGGCACATAAAAAACATGAACCCATCACCTTCATAGCTTTCATGACATCACACAAAGAGAATTTGATAAACACTGCCAGTAAATGGAAAACATTTTTTTTGGTTCTATTCACCTGAGTTAACTGACGACAGCTGATGCTGAATGACAGCAACAAAAGAGATACAGGTTACCATGGCAACACCCAGCATTCTCAGTCGGAAGTCGAGCCAGCGGGCCGATAACTGTGTGGCGTACTGGGCCCTCTGATTCATGTCAAGGCGAACAATGTTCTCCTGACAGAACCTAGGGACAAAGAATCGAAAGAGAGAGAATTCATAGTAATTAGTTTTCAATCAGAAAAGACTTGTTTGATTCGGAACAGATCATTGCTGTCGCAAGAAAAATGTGTAACTCGCAATTCTTTATCCTCAACACATTAAGTACGACCAAACAGATTTCCTCATTTTCTTCTCATCAACAATATGAATTATACATTGTGGTTTTAAGAAAAATTGGTCTTCACAAATACTTTTGACTTATCTTGTAAAACAGGGTCATATAGAGTTAGTAATTTTTACTTACGATGTTGAGGACATGAAGTAGTAAAATCTAACTCATCTCCACATTAATGGTCATTTATGGTTTAAGGGAAACAGCTCACAGAAAGACAGGAAAGCTCTAACCTAGCAAAGTCTATCAAGTTGTGAGGAAAAGCAAAGCTGTAATATCAGTTAGAGGGCATTTACACGAAGCAAGATAACAAAAATGATGTCAGGCCAGAAAATAAAACCCAAATTTTTGGAAAACCTAAAGCAAATAAAAGATGCATAAAAACTGGTTTTGAGTTTTAACTGCACATTTGTATTTCGTAAATAAATGAGCGCTCATTTCTAATGTGCACGAATAAACGAGCAATTAAACTAAATTATTCAAATATTATATCAGACTGCATGTGGGCAAAGGTTTATCGGTACATCCCAGAGGTTCATTATTTGCTACTCACTTATGAAGTAGCGGCTAATTTGAGACATGAGTGAGCAAGGGAGCAGAGCCAGTGACGCTGATCTTGGCAGTGCGTTCAGGTGAACTCATTTGCTCATTTATGACATCACAATGTCACAATCTGTGAAGGACTGACACAGCAACATAGCCAGCCCCTCGTTAGGCCTTGTGGGTCACACAGCCATGAATTGCAGACCCACGAGTGCCCAAAGTGCCCAACTCAGGGTGATCAGTGATATACACTGGGACTATAGCGGATGATATTAGAGAATCATTTAACTCAGTGATCACAAACCGGTTTGCACGAATAACGAATCAATATCAAGAGCGAACAACACAACTAATTGTAACCTGAGCATACAGGAAGAAAAAGGTGTCAAGCAAAGAAAAAGACATTTAAAAAAAAGTACTTTCTCAATGTTCAGCAAATGTGCATGAAATGGTTTGTACGAATTAATCAGCAGCACACTAACTTAAAAATTGTAAAATATCAGGAGAGCAATCCAGACAGTAGACCAGCAGATGTGGAGTAATAGGAAGGCTCTTCCGAATAGAATGCATAGGACATGAGTTTTAGTCCTGTATAAGGAAGTAATTATATCGTTAGTAAGTGTTTTACCGCATTTGCAACACAATTAGGTCACATAGGTGCCAAAGATTAGAGGTGTTACAAGAGTGTAACAAACAAAAAAAAGGAGGAAAGATAAGGACAATAGATGTTTGATAGGAAAGAAGGAGCAAACCACACCAGAGCACTCTCCAACCACCTATGTTGTATCCCACACCATCAAAGTTGGCCCAAATGTACAGGATTGACCCACCTCTTAAAATGTCCAAATTGCATTGAGAGGCATCAATATGAGCATATATTTAAAACTTTTTTTTAGTATGGGGTTTAATGGTGCTCGCAACTGCATAAGGTCATATGAGTGCGCGAAACACAAGTTAGCTTTATTCGCAGTTCACTGTACAGCTGGGTGCGGGTCATTAGATCTTAAAACGTTAAAATATTTCAAATTCTGTGTAAATAAATATTTTCAATCTAAAACAACTTTCCTAAAAAACATAAAAATTTTTAATACTTCAATTTCGCTCTACAATTTCCCACAACTATTTACAAGAAATTCGATAGAAATAACAAAAAGAAATGCAAAACACCCAACTCGCAGCAAAGACTCAAACCACTAACCTGGTAGAATGCCGCATGGCCCTGATGGTGGTCAAACCAATGATGGTCTCAGAGAAATGACTATAGATCGGCGACAGCGACACACTAGATAGACGCTTGAGCTCACGAGATGTGTGACGGTAATAATGCTGTTGACATAAAATGCACACATGCTCAGGACTGAATGCTTATTGAATGTTATCAGACCCAAATTTCATCCTAAATAAATTAAAATACCTCTTGTATGTAAAAGATGGGGGGGGATGACACAGAAATGTTACTCTGTAAGCCTTGAACTTGATAATATTTATATTTCAAAATAAAAATACGTTAATGCACGGTTTATTGGTTTTGTTGAGGTTCACATACTAATATATAACTTTAACCTGACACTTTTAGACTTGAAACTTGCAGACGGAATTCCCATGGCAAGTTGGATACTGGAGTTATTTCTGAGGGAATTATTGTATTGAACTGACAGAATGTGCTGGAATAAGGGTTTAAAAATAAATTACAAAATTGCGTTGAAGAGGAATAAAGAAAAACCCTAAATAATTTTAAGCCCATAATGTTCTACAAGGATCAGCAAACACTAAAAAGCATAAATAAGGAATGTTATGGTCACTTTTTTTCAAGCAGGAAGTTCTGTAAAGACCAATCTACTAGATCAATTTTATGTTCGCAGTGTTTCCAATTTAAGTAGCTGAAATTTTTAAAAAGCCATGCAGTTCTTCTAGTTAAAGTTAACATCATAAGTATATCATAGCACCCTGAATAGGCATTAATCTACTACTGGCAAGTACATGTTCTTCCAATTCACACATGGTGATCAATCCTTCCATTTAGTAAAAAGAAGTAAGCAGATAAACTGGAAACATCGACTGAATGGTGATGGGAAATAAGTCACATCCCACCCAACCACACATCTCACAAGGTGGCAAACACTTGGCAGAGGATTAAGGTTTTTATTCTACTTCGCCCTACACTTAAGAGAGGAAAAAGGAAGGGATTGACACTCACCTGTATTTTATAATAGATCACAGCCATTGGGACTAGTGAGATGGTAAACCAAGGCAGGCCATAACAGGTGATCACCAGAGTACCCAGAATGCCATAGGTTTGTGCCAGGAAGATGTTTAGGATGAAAGGTAGTCCGTCATCTACTGCGTACAAGTCTGACGAAAATCTATTCAAGATCCGGCCAACAGGGGTCATGTCAAAAAATGACATGGGAGCCTGTATATCAAGACAAAATCAATTTTGGGGTGAGGTAAGATCATGAAATATTTGAAGAGAATTGGTTGTCAAGAAGTTTTTCTTCCCCAATTCAGTCAAAGATACTTTTGAAAGGGAAAAAATATGTGCGTGTCCGGGAAAAGGGCACACAAGGGTCATTTCTCAATATTTTTAGTCTAACGCATTTCTGCACAGAATTATCTTTCGTGATGATTGGTTGTTTGTTTTTAAATACATTTTTTTGTTCAGATTTCTCAAACAGTTTTTGAGATATGATCACATGTGAGTGAGGGGTGCACCAACTACATTTGAGAAATACAACTTTAACCATGTATATTTGACCTAAAGAGAAATGCTTAGTATCTCTTCAAAATGAACAAAGCTAACTTTTTAAATTAGATACAGCAACGCTGACATCACTGGGCCAACAAATGTTCATTAAAATGATGAATCAAAGATAAATAATCACAGTGGTCACTTATAAGGTAGAAATTATGAGAACAAAGCCTTTCCGAGATCAAGCAGCAATGTCAACAATGAATGTAGTAATCTGACGGTCAGGGATGCGCACTACTTCCATTTCTTTCCAATAACATATCACAAGGAACATTAAAGAACCATAGAAATATTGAAAGAAGTAAAATGAGCAGACCACACAAAAACCTCCAGCAACAAGCCACTTTTCTGAAATAGGTTAAAATTACGTACATTTAACATATCTCCAAGTCTACCTGATGAGAGTAAACACCCTCACAAATTACTATTAGATACAAATCAATATCAGAGACAGACTTTAAATGCTCAACTGGCATTCCTAAGCAAACCAGTAGTGCAATTTTCCCCAGTACCTTCAGTATGGCTTTCAGAAGACGCTGGTGAATGACAGTCGCTGCCTTGACCCCACCATATGCAAACATGAAAGCTCTCATCAGTGTAAAGATGGAGTTACACGCAGCAAGACCTCCATAAATACCCAAGTAGAAGTTGAGGTTATCTGAGCCGCTGGACAAATTCTGGGCAGGTATATTCCTGAAATGGAATTGTCACCGCAGAATCAATGTAAAATGTTTTCTCACAAGCTGGAAAGCTCAAGAGGGAAATTTTTACAGTACTATGAACAAAATAAAACATGAAATATGTGAAAACAGCAGTAGGTAAATTTTTATTTTTTAGGCACAATTCAAAGTCCTTTCTGCTTTGAAAAAAAAAAAAAGAAGAAGAATATCACACCGCGTAACATCTACTTAGGTCATAAATCTCAAAACTGCTAAGAAAAAAACCCATAACTAAATGGAGAAAAATCTACAAGTAACAACCTGCTGAAATTACAAAAGATTTGTCCTGAATCCTTTACGTCTAAAGACCACAAATTCGCACATTCCATAGACAATAACAGGTATTGAGCAGAAAGTACTATACATCTCGTCAGCTGTACAATTCCATGACTATCTTTATCACATATTTTAAGCTTTACAACTCTTGAACACAACAATTATCTTAATAAACAAACAGAAGCATCAGAAACAAGAAACACCATAGCAATACGGAATAAATACAACAAATTAACATGATACTGATATTGAACAAACAAATATTTAAAACAACTGAATAACAATGGCATTTTTAAGACCAATGCACTCCAAAATCACACAAATCACTCCATGGCAGAACAAATTCTCTGTTACCTCACAGGCCAGATGACAGCAGGTACAGATGAGTTGAGAGGACTGGAGTCTTGGCTGTGTGTCACCCAGAATGCCAGCCACCAGTCAGTCAAGTTGCGAGAAGCTGAGGACATTGTCAAGGCCGACATCAGTTCTCAGTTCGTTTTTTTCTGTCCAAAAATGTGTAAATGTTTATACATTGCCCCAATCAAATTCAGATCATCTAAGAGGTGGACTGCTTCTACAATGTCTGTCGGGGCCAACCGGAGCTGAGAGGGATATGCAATATCCTACTACCAAATACGAGGAGATATTTGATTTTTTAAAAACAAAACACTTTCACACTTGTGATTCGAATTCACGTTTTTTGAGCGAAAAAGCTGAAGCATTCCACAACACAACAGAAGCAGGCTACTTTCAGCATTGTGCTCCTTTCTTCTGCACCATTCTAATAAAAAATAAACAAAAGTTTTCATTACATTACTAGGTCTCCTCCGATAGAAGGCTCACGCAGCTTCACAATAACTCCCTAAGCTGGCTAGTATATTCCAGCCGACCATATCTGGCCCCTAAGCACATTCAATGATGCAGCATTTTAGGCAAATACCAGCTGTTATTCATACAATATAAAAGCGGGTGATTGGTCAGTTCTCTGGTATGGTTTGCTTCTTCTTTACTACCAAAACATCTATCATCCTGATCTCTCCTCCTCCTTTTTTTCATGTTTGTTACTCTCTTGCAACACCTCTAATCTTCAGCACTTACATGAACTTATTGTGTTGCAAGTGCTGTAAAACTGTCACTGAAACCAAACTGATATAAAAGGGGAACTTTTCTGGCATGAGAAATCAAAGAATTGTCACTTATAATACGTTTTTTGCTATTACTCATTGAGTTATACACGAACACACAAACCCCCCAATAAAACACACATGCACTCACACACATTGACACATGCACACACATATTCAAATAAACACATGGATCAACACACCATCATACATACACCCACACACACACTCACCTTGCATAAAAAAGAGTGCCAGCAACACACTAGGGGACAAACAGGTGCCAACAGCCAGCCAGTAGCTTTTGTACACAGCAGCCTTCACAACGCCCTTTTCTCGTCCCTCCTCCTTCACCAAGTTTTCTTCCTTCGCTTCTTCTCGCTTTGCCGCAGCTTTTTCCTCCTCATCCTCCTTGTCCTTGTGTCTCTGTCCCGGGCGGTTCGACTCCAACATCTGCACATGTGGCAGAACATCACTGGGGACACCTGCATGCATGGGTTATAATTAAATTCATAATTTTTTTCTATTAGACATGGTATGGGAAGATGCTCGTGAGGCTGGGGGTGGATTTGGGTCAAACAGGGTCCCCACCAAATCCTGGAAATTTTTTTCAAGACCCCAATTCAAGGGAAAAATTAGGTCACTGCGCGTAAGAATGATCCCCCAAAAAGCCCACCAATCAATGGTAAAAAGTCAAAATGTCTTTAAATGAATGTAAATGTACATTTTGTAGTATAGTCTTCAAACAGATGACTATAATGCTGGGTGACTGCCAACCCAGCTTCTCAAAAAGGGAGGGGCCTCATCCATTTTCCAGGGGCGTGTTACATAACAATGACAGCATGTGCTCCATTTATATCTAATATAGGTATATGTTTGTGAATACACACACACACACACACACACACATGTAGGTACACTATATCCAGTCAAGTGTGGCACTGGGATCTTGTGTGACTTTGGTATTTCAGTCTGTTCTTACTTATTTACATTTTCCCCTCATCATATTAGCCTACATAAACTATAGGCCCTATTAAAAAATGAATCCTGTTGTGAGCCTGAGAAAAGACCTAGAATTAGAATATCGATTGTCAATAACCAGTCAGGGTGTCATGATTCATATAATAAACGTGAAGACGAAAACTATTGCTCAAACTCAAAGTAGAGAAATATTAGTGTAATAACTTGAATGGCTCAAGTAGACCTATTCAGTGCGAGAGGTGTAAGAACTGAGGG